CCCTGCCTCCTTTTCATTGGGGAGAAATGCATACTAAGCCTTCAAGAGATGAAATAATGAGACTACATCTACATCCAGCAAACACAACTTCATCTCTTTCATACTGCACTCTTCCCCATGATGTGGAATATTGATTTTTTTATTATTATTATTTCAAGGGTAGAAGTGATTTGTTTGAAACTAAGTTATGATTACCTGCACAACTCATGCAATTCCCATTGCAATTTATTAAACAGATAAACACAGGTTCAGTTAAAAGGGAAATAAAGATTTCTGTAATTCCCTCTTTTCCTTGAGAAGGAACCCTTCATAGCTGCTGGGAAGCAATAAAGGGAAAAAAGATCATGTCAGCACAACATTCTTGGTCATATACAATTCAATCTTATGCTTCATTGGGTTTTCAACACAGGAAATGGGTATATTAGTGCATAATTCACAAGTTTTTGAGTCAGCTGCAGTGCTTGCTTGAATGGCTCTAAAGGAACAAGCTCTAACCAGGGCTTTTATACAGCTTCAGAAATACACATTTCTAAGCCAGAAAGGCCCAGCCATCTAACTGCTTTCACAGCCAATACTCCAGTGCAGAAAAAAAAAACAAGTTCCATTTTACTAGGTGTGAATTTCATCTGATCTTCTGGTTGTAGTTCGCACATGACTGAGAATAGGAACATCAAGTTTTTTGGGGGGTTTTCTTGCTTATTTTGGGGTGGGGGTGTGTGTAAACCTTGTTTCACCCCTAGTCAGTGGAACTGGGGGAGGAAAGTTTAATCTTTAGCTCACCAGCAAATTCCACCTAATCATTTGGAGAGCCCAAACACTATAGAGGCTGGCACTGCTGCCCACGACAACGTAACTATAACTTGTTCTGATGGCCATGAAAACCAAATCCAAGCTTACAGAATACCTGTGTCTTCAGACACATCAGTGCAGCTGCAGCCTTTCCTCTCTGCCCCATCACCCTAAGCCTCTCCCACCAGGTCAGTCTCAAGGTATTCACACAGCAACAGAGAGACTTGCTCTGGGACACAAAAAGGAGTTCCCAAGTATTGCGTAATTTCCTAAGGCTTTTGTAAACACAAACTATGATAGCTGTGGAGCACTTTATCACCTTGAACAAATAAGTAGTATTTAATGCATTCCAGAGTATAGGTGAGGGCTAGCTAGGGTAAACATGCACCTGTGTAAAGAAGTCGAGACCTGTCTGCCTGCTGAGTTCATCTGATCACAAGACTTCTACTGGATTTCAGGTGAATTCTCATTTTTGAGAAAATCAGGAATCCACCAGTACTGCCAAAATCCATCAGTAGCCTATTGCTACATCACCTGCAGACCTCATTCATTTTTTAAAACCATCTTCTAATTCATACATCTTATTTCTCACAGAAACTTTCCTGGATCATGTTTTGAATGGAGCTGGTTAGTAACCAAACACATGCAACAACACTGTCATGACAGGTTTGTTTTAGAGAATTAACGTCCCGGATCAACTTGACATATAAATGACCTGCAAAACCTGATACGAAATTGAGAGGAAATTGGAAACTCAGTTAATCAAAAGCCACACAGCATCACCAAGCCCAGCTGAAAGAGATTTGTTTTCCAGGCACAGTGAAGTGCAATTTTCAAGACTGGATGTTTTTTAATCCTCCTTCTCCCACTCTGTGCAGGAAAAGGAGAAGGTATTTTACCCCGCTTTTTTGGTTTTGTTTTGGTTTGGGGCGGGGGGGTATTTCTGTACAAATAGGACAAACTGGCAGAATAGCCAGAAAACAAAAATATAATCTTCTGGCAGAGGCTGATTTCTAAGGGTCCAGACATATCAGGAGAGCTGCCACCAGCAGCATCAGGTGAGAGCACTGGCACTGGTCACTGTATCTCCAAGATGTAATGTCTGTGTCACTCTGACATGCAGGTGAGCTGCTAACCCCTAAATGCAGGGCTGAGCCATGCTATGGATGACACTAGAGCAAAGTAAGTATTACAAAAGGTATTGTCAAGATCACACACATTGGACTTCTGAGAAGTTCTTTAGATCCCTTATTTTTTCTTCTCCCATTTCTGCAGTAACCCTGAAGTTAAGCTCTAAAACAGGTAACCTCATCAAGCAGTGCTAACTCCTGCTGTGCTGAGCCACCACCACGGCCGGTAACCTCATCCTGAGGATGCTGTCACATGTGTCTGGTGACTCTTGAGGTAGCCCAGAAAGCTTTACACACCCTTAGCAGGACAGATGGAGCAAAATTAGTCTGACATTGACCAGTCTTTTGTAAGGCATCTCTAGCATTTAATTACATTGCTGAATGGCTCAGAGAGACTCCAGATGCTATTCTCAGGTGCAGCCACTCTGAGGAGGATGGGGAGTCATATGACAACTCCCTGCTCTGTGTCTCCTTGCTATTAGTCCAACGTGCATGACTTGGAAGCCAGTCCCATGGGTTGCACTGCCTTCACCTCAAAAAGGAGAAGCAGGTTCTAGATATAATGTACCAAATAGAAAGGCACAGAAACCACACAAGTGTCTCACTCACTGAGACAGAAAGGACCCTTCAATGCAGTTGTTCCTTGGCAGTAGTTATAGCTTTCCAAATAGGCAGTGTTTTCTCTGGGGAGGCTGGTCTTCTCAGCAACGTGGTCTGTAGCCCTAGTAATAATACAGGTGGCACAGTCAAGATTTAAAAAAACCCTAAGGGAATACCTTCTCTCTGTTGGTTCATTAGGTACACAACAGTAAAAACACAATCCTGTTTTGTGTGCATTTATGATTCCAGCCAATAGATTTATGTTCTGAACCACTATTTGAAATGCATTTTTACATTGAGGTGTATTAAGAACACATTATGGGGTCTCCTGTAAACCAGCAAACTGCAGGGAATTCAGAGCAGAGGCTGAAATTGCACACTTGATGTACTTATTACATCTAGCTATGCACTGATGAGCTTGTAATAATACTCAACTGTTCCAAAAACTTCTGATATATAACCAGAGGCTGTTTTGGGGGCCTAGAAATTGTATCACTGCAGGAGGTCTGAGAACTTGGGAACCAAGAACAGCTGTCTTCATTTTGATGGGATGCTTACTATTTATTTGTTATTCTCATTTTAAAGGCTAGCCCATAATTTATCTGCCTTCATTTTTTAGAGCCCCACTTGTAACTCACCAAGCAGAGAGCTAAAACCATACCAGTGCTTTCTGAATCTAAGCTTGCTTAACACAGCTCCTCCCTGCTCGTTTCAATATCCTCTGCCACAGCAGGGGAAGGATACACAGCACAACAGCAGAGAGAGAAGCCCAACTAGCTTCAACATATAAAGACATGCCTCAGAGCATCAGAAACAGGCAACAAACAAAAAACTTCCCCCCCCCTGCCACCCCCTTGTTTTCATTTTGTAAGCCCAAGGAGGTTAAAAACCAAAAATCTTTATTTTAAGTATATTACCCTATTCTACCTTTTTTTCTATCCAGGTTTCTCAGGGCATCTCTAGCAGAAGCTGCCAGGAGTTCCCAGGCTGCACTGGATCCACTTCCAGGTGCTCAGTGAACGCTACTGCACTGTGTCCACAGATCTTGCCTGTGCTCTCTATGGTAACAGAAAGGCAGGTTTCATTTCCCACCCCAGCACCCAGGGGACTGGAATCCGTCTGCAGGCAGGTCTCAGCCTGTTCCAAGTGCTGTTGCCTTTACACCCAGGCAGAACCCCTGCCAGGTTGGACGGACGGACCTGCTCCTACCTGGGAGGCTCTGTAAAACCAATCGATTACATTTCCTCTAGAGGATGCTCCGAGAACTACAGCCAGAAAGGGAGCTACAAGTGTAAGGTGCTACAATTAGCAATTGTTTTTTGGGGTTTGTTTTTTGTTAACATGTAGATATGTAGAATAAGTCAGAGTGGTTCTATTTCAAGGCGAAGCTACCACACCGTCTTCCCATCCTCTATCTCATTTTTGCCATACACATAACCTCCTGTGTCCTGTTTCTCCAGTAGAAACCCCTAAATATCCCAAGAAGTGCAGTTCCCAGGGTATTTGCCCACCAGCCAAAGCCACAAAGTGTTTGAAGCTTCATGAGAAAGCTTGCTCACAGATGGTGTGGAACCACACTTGAGGCAGCATCTCCTCTGCAAATTTGACAGATGAATTAACTAGCCATAAAAGAATCAATTTGGAGCCCAGAATTACAAGAGAGGGGAGTTATGCTTTTACTTCCATTAGGAGAATTGAAGGAAAGTAAAAAAAAACATAAGTGTGTGCCTGACCAACTTCTTAAGCAAGCAGACCCAGGAAATAAGATGAGGAATGCTTCTGAATTCCAGAAAGCCCAGTGTTGCCTTTACAGCCACTTGTATTATTTTTAACACCAGAGGCCATCTCACAGACAGAAACCCAGGCTCCTGCTACCCCATGAAGAAAGCAAGAAGCAGCACTATTCTGTATCAACACAGCAGTAAGACCAGGATGACAATTCACAACTTTCAGTTGTGTTACGAAGTTTAAATTGAAGCAGATTAAACTTAAACTGTGAAACTCCAAACTTCCCTCCTTGTACATCATGCAGGCACAAACTCTCACTTGGGCAAAACTAAAGCTATTAAAAACCCAATAATTAGGACCATCCTCACTTCAAATAACCCATTTTACTCCATTTCAAAGAGACTCCCTCAACAATCAGGCTGCATCTTCCACTGTTTAAAGCACGTGTGGGAAGGTATTTTGCAAGGCAGTCATCTCCATCATCTTATGAAATCAAAATACACTTGTGTTTTCCTCTTATAGCCTTCAGCCCTTAGGTCACTTACCTTCTGCAGACTTCTGGCCAGTGTTTTCATATGCTTTGCTTATTTAAAAAAAATTACCATAAACAATTCCTCAGTTTCAAGAAATATCACCTAAATCAAATTATCTTTTTCACATGCTCCACTCAAAGTTTTCCTGTAAAATACCTCATTTTCCTGTTCAGATTAATTTTTAAACTGTTAAGAAGATTGTGATCTCACAGGTACTCACAGACATTTTTCCATTGGTATTGGCTTCCTCTCTTTCTGCCAGGGCTTGCAAGAAGTTACCTTTCAGTTCTTTTCCTACACTTGCCAGTAACCTAGGAAAAAAAAAAAAAAGGTACAATTATTACTATTAATTATTTACACAGACTTTGGGTTCACTGTTGGGTTAAGTGTTCTGTAAATATGAGACAGTCCTCACCTTACTGTAGCTCATTTCTCTATTGCACATTCTGCTTTTACAAGCCCTTAAAGCACTCTTCAAAATCCATCACTACTGCAGATGTGTGATGTAACAGCAGTTTACCACAAGGTGACTTACCAATGTACATTTTCAATTACAAACCTGGAGTAATCCAAGTGCTTACTTTTTATCTCCAGAATTATGGCCAAAGCCATGTTTACATAAGAATACTAGATGGTCACCTTGTACTAATATAAACTTAAACAGATTGGATACCTTGTTCTTCTGCCAGCAGCTAATCAAATTAACTACTACATACTTGGACTGCTTGGTGTGGCAGGGGCAATAAGGATTCTGTAACCTGAAGTACAAAGCATGAAAAGATAATTTTGCTTCACAAAAACTGGCAAAAGAAAAAAAAAAATGACAAGAAAGTATTCCATACACTAAAAATCACTTGTTATCCTTTCCACATAGTGCCTTGGAATTCAAACAGTCATTACAAACAGAAGACAGGCATCAGATGGACAAAAGCACTGAATACTGGGCAAACCCTCAACCAAACTATGATTCTTTAAAACAGTTCCTACGTGCCTCTTAGCCCAATCTAAAGCCCTTTCCATCTGCAGGGGTCATTGCACTCACTCCAAGGTACTTTGCATGCACAAGAAGGAAGCAAAGACTTCCTAATCTTGCACTGAAGCAGCATGACTGGGAATGTTGCTCCTAGTAACACCTGAGTAGCACACACTGACTGGCAAGTGCTCCAGGGCAACCCAAGGCCAACCAGTGCCTCTGAGTTCACCACAGACCTACCTGAAAGAGAAAGGAGTACTACATGGTGTGTCCCCCCACTAACTCCATGTGAATTATTTCATTAAAAAGCAGCCATGTTTGTCAGTCTAAGCAGACAAAAAACAACATCGATAAAGACAATTCTATCAAGTGTTTAACATATCGAGTTTCAAATAAGAGAGTGCTACAAAACCTGAAAAACTCCCTTTGGTAATTGTTTGCATACAGACATGCATGGTTATGTCCTTAAACTGAGTGAACAGCCTGAATCTAAGCTCCCAATCTCTGAGGCAGAGCTGTCAGGTCAATCTCTGGCCACTTGACCAGCTGCTATCCAGAAGTAGATGAGTTTGAAGCTGTTTCAGAAGTGCATCTGCTGCACTGTACAAATAAAAAATGCAAGACCAACATCTGGATTAAAAACACGTAAGTAGATGAGTTGTAAAAAAATGGATAAGAAGAGTACCAAATTTTCCTCTTCCTGACAGGCATTCTAGATTCCCAAATTACTCATTTTCTGGCAGAGGTTAACAGTAAATCAACTTCAAGTTTGTGGCTCCTATTTTAAACCAGAAGGCTGTGGGTGTCTGAAATAGCATGTGTTTTTAGCCACTTAAGTATTATGTTCTAATAAGAGACTTCATCTTTATTTAAAAACCTTATCTTCCTCCCATCCCTCAATCATCAGCAAAACAACCACTGACCCACTTGCAGAATACTAAGATGCAGAAGTAATGATACTTACTGAGAAATGAGTTCAATGCATCAGAACACACTGAGCCATCCCTGAAACCAAGCTGCACTGGTTCTGAAAAACGTGAGGTATCACTGGGTGGCCCTGTCTAGGTCAAAAACCACCAAGTGTTAAAAACATGGAGCTAAAACATTGCAGGTGCATCACAGATCTAAGGCAGCAGCTTTTCATAGTCCTTGAAGTAACTCCAAAAGGGCATGATGGTGCCTTACATGCTGTGTTGACTACTGGGGTCTACTTCAGCAAATCTAACTTCTGAAAGATGCAAAGGAGCAAAGGCATCATCTAATATGTATGTATTTCCTATACACTATGCTCAGTGGCAAAGGCCCCCTTGTTCTGTAAAACAGGCTTCAGTGTCTACAAAATGGTACCTAAAAAAGAGAAGTGTGGATTTGATTTAAAAATTATTCCAGGGTCCCTGAGAAAACACATTAACAACAGTATTGTGGCTGAATAAAGTACTGGGAATGCAACACATCATGGCTGAAGTGACACAGTTGGAGTAGAACTTAGTATTAACTGGCTGCTTTTTTTATTTAAGAGGGGGATGGGACAGAAGACCCCTAAAAAAATTAAGTAAAATAGTTCTTGAGTCACCTTTGAGAAACATATGAAACATTTGTTCTTCTAAAGAAGCATTTTTAGAAAGATATCAACACCAATTTACCCTCACACCAATGTCCCTAACAGCCTAAAAGATTTTTTTTTTAAGTTTACAGCAGTGAGTGCAGGAACAAAACAATGAGATGTGTCCTCTGTATCAGACTTTTAACCTCCTTGCATTCCCTTGTTTAAAATATATACTATTACTGTACATACTGCTATTTGATAAGGATTAACAGAAAGTATTGCTGTTACATCTAAATCACAAAAAGAGCAGAAATAGGTTCAGGCTATTCTCTGGGAAACTTTTATAACTTTAGAAAACAAGAGCATCAGAACAAGGAGTTTAACATTTAAAGCCTGAATTTAAAATCTCCAGGATCTGGAAGCATCCCCCATCTAAGCAAGTACTTCCTGATAACAGGGACCAAGAGCTGCTTGGTCCACTATTTTTAACTGGCCAGGAGTCACTCCATTATTTTCTGCACAAATGTCTATGCTATTTTCTTTGAGTCTTGGTCTTTTTCACTTTTTTTTGCCCCTTGTGATGTGCATCCTTTGCCTGTCTATCCCAGCTCAGAGATCTGTCTTTCCCCTGAGTGCTTATCCCACACAGTGGGAAAGTGCACCCAATTACCTTAAGGCACATTTTCAGCTAAGGCAGTTCAAAGGTCACATGCATATTCTTAAAACTGGCTTAAACCAGGCTCATTTCAGCATCCCATGTAAGCAACTAGTAATTGACCTGACTTAAATTGCCCCCAAGGAATTGCAAGCTTCTGCAGACATTGATTTGCACTCCAGCAGTTTAAAAAAAAAGAGTTTTACTTTAATAAACTGTAAATCTTTTTTTTGCCCCTTGTGATGTGCATCCTTTGCCTGTCTATCCCAGCTCAGAGATCTGTCTTTCCCCTGAGTGCTTATCCCACACAGTGGGAAAGTGCACCCAATTACCTTAAGGCACATTTTCAGCTAAGGCAGTTCAAAGGTCACATGCATATTCTTAAAACTGGCTTAAACCAGGCTCATTTCAGCATCCCATGTAAGCAACTAGTAATTGACCTGACTTAAATTGCCCCCAAGGAATTGCAAGCTTCTGCAGACATTGATTTGCACTCCAGCAGTTTAAAAAAAAAGAGTTTTACTTTAATAAACTGTAAATAAACAACTACAAGCCTCTGGAGACACAAGTGTGCACCGACTTGATTTTAAATGGTACACACTCCTTTCCACTTACACGTGGTTCCCACTGGAATAAGGCCACACATTGTCTAGGAAGGTGCAGCATCTACAGGAACACCATGAGCATTTAGTACAGGCCAGCCTTGGAGGAAGAAAGGAGATTTTTCTCCCCCTGCCACAGCAGGATGTACATTCTCTGCACTCTGCCTTACCAATGCAGCAGACGACTGAGAAGAAAAGATCAAGGCATTCCACCCCACAGAAGTTCACACACACATAAACAGGCTGAAATTTTGGGGTGTGACTAGTGAGGAATTCATGGAGGCTTCGTAGATGTTTGTTCCAGCTTCCTGCCAGGTGAGATGAGGGAGTTCTGTGAGCTGGGAGGAGCAGAGAGGAATTATCTATCACCCATCAAACACTACTATCTAATGAGTGAGACTTGCCATGACCTAAAAACTGCTGGTTAAACCATTAAAAAAAGAAAAATTACTTCCTAAAATCAGGTCAGTCACAAAGCTAGAGGATTACATATTTCATACCAGCATAGAAAACTTGCTTGCCAGTTCAAACAGCACTTGAGAAGGAGAGTACAACATATTTCATTATTAGCATCAATTTATGCATCTCCACCACCACATGTCACTAACATTTCTGCACTGCCCAGAACTACCCACACCACTCAGCTGAGGCCTCAGCACACTGACTGAAGGATGCTTCAGAGTGCAAGCCCCACTCAGGAGGCAGCATGATCTCTTTGCAAGGCACTCTGATGATAGCTGCAGCCACCTGTACTCACCACCAAACAATTCAGACTGATGAGATTTTTAATGATGATCTGCAGCACATGGGCAGAGGCCCACACCAAGAGCAGGATGTTACTGCCCTAGGTGCTGAGCAACCCTTTCTGTCTTGGTGAGCTTTGAAAACAAACACCCAGACACAGAAAAATCTGGTAGAAAAACTGACATATAGGAGGTGGTTACTGTTCTCATTTTTCAAACGGGAATCAGAGATACATAAAGACTAAGCAATATATCCAAAGATAACACAGAATGTCTCTTCAAACATGTCATAATTACCAGGTTGGTGATGAATTCTGCATCCCTAGCTGTGTTAAATAGTAAGTCCTATATTAACTTTTCTGCTCCTGAAGAAATGTTTTCCCTGTACACAAAGAAGAAGCAGCATTAACAAGGAGTAACTCCTCCCTAGGGTGTCCTTCAGGAGAAGCAATACTGCAAAGAAGTATTACACCTCAGCAAAAATAGAAGGGATACGTTTCTAAAAGCACTTATTTGGGTACAGAAACACCTGGTGATGTAACTTGGTTGCTAGTTTAAATTCCATAAACACTATTCCTCATGATGCTCAGATTCTCACTTATGAAACCATTCGTATTCCCACTACCTTGTCATTCCAAGCTGCTTTCCTCCTTCCAAGAGCTCCTAGTTTCTTCCACCATCCCACACACCCTTCTCGCATTCCCGCTTCAGACACCTTTACTTGCAGCATGCTTTTTTGGTCTTCACTGATAGGTGTTAGTGAAGCAGAAAGAAGGAAAGCTTTTTTGGAAC